AGCGGATTCAGGACCACTGAAATCCAACCCAGCCTCTCACGAGTATGAAACGTGTTTCTCGGACTTTACGGTGCTACCTTTGTAAGTTTCTGGGAAGGGTTTGGTGGGAAACAGAGAGGATTTGTTCCTCTCATCTCCTAAGAGTAGGTCTGTCCTCACCTGTCTCCAGCACCTTATCTCATCTCTGTCTGCTTATAGGGAGCATTACTAGAGTCCAGGCTAGTTTTTTTTTTTTTTGAGGGAAAGTATGTCTGCATCTGTACCACAGAAGAAAAGTCATGTGCTACCAAAAATAATAATTTGTAGGTCAACAAGGTTGCTAACTATTTCTCCTGCTCGTTCTCACTTCCCCCCAGACTCTCATAATGACTATGGCTCTGTTCCTCGGCCAGCATCAAGAACCCTATTTGTCTGTCCAGGAAATGACAGCTCCTGGGACGCCCCTGTCTGTAGGGAATGCCTGGGTAGCCGAGCATGGAGCCTGCCTAAAGCCCACGTCAGGCCTGACTGAGCGCCTGCGTGAAACGCGCCAACGCACCCAGAAGGACCCACAGCTGCAGGTCCTGGCACCGGGGTTCTAAAGGAGCCTCTGGTACCAGCTGTGTGACCCCAGACAAGCCACAGAACCTCCTGGGTCTCTGTTCACTCATCTGTGAAGCTGAGAACACGGCACTCTCCGTGACTAATAAACGGTATTGCTGGCTTTGTTTTATTTTACATTTTATTTCTGGGCCATCAGAAAGGACCAGACGCTGTCACAGAGCCTGGGGGGGGGGGGCAGTAGCAAACGGAGCAGACAAATATCTCCCTCTCTCCAGACCTCCTCGGCGGGCTGTGACGCAATCATAAGTGAGCCCAACACACGGCTCTCCAAGGGTTTGGGTGACAAAGTAAAGCACACAAGGAAGGAGGCAGAGGGCAGGGAGACCCCCCTAAAGGCTGACACCACCGCGACAGCGACACAGATCCGCAGGAGGCAACAGGCAGAGTCAAGAGAGGGTCTGGGGAGGGAACATTTGATAATGTGGCAACTACAGCTAGCGCAAAGGTCCTGAGGCGAGGGTGAGCATGACGCATTCTAAACACGGGAAAAATGGAGCACGGGGCAGAGAGCCCATAGAGACAGGAGAAGGGGGCCAGACAGGATGCGGCTGCTGGAATTTTGCCTTTAACTTGCAGTGGGGGCTCTGAGTGGGGACTCGGAGCGAGGCATTACATACCTCATGTGACTTGGGTTTTACAGCAAATGTGTTTGCAAAGGAGAGTCTAACGAAACTGCATGCCCCAAGATGTCTTGAAAAAAGCAAGGAGAACGGTGGGAAAGCAGATGAAGGTTAGTAAGGACCCAGTCCTCCAAGGCTCCCAAGAACAGGTTGTTGTGGAGATGGGGTGGGCGGGGTTAAGTACAGCCTAGCTTTCCCTGCTGCTTCCTCTGGCAGAAGTCAAGTTTTGTTTCCATTCCGGGGAATGCGGTTGACACTAAAAGCTCTAGATCAAATGGGGCCCAGTGGGCAACTATTGTACGGATCTTGGTTTAGCCTTCTGATGCACTGTCTGCTTTCCCTCGCTTCCTCTTGGAAACCTTCGTTCTTGGGACATTTTACTCTCAAAATCTAGCAGCCATGTGGTGAAAATTCCAAGTCACATGGAAAGGCCACATGTAGAAGCTCCCGGTGGCAGCCCATGTGGGTTTCAAGATGACAGCCGCTGTCTGCTGCCAGCCACGTGAGGGAGCCACATTCAAACGGTCCAGCCCAGCTGAGCCCCCATGACTATGGCCCAGCCAACATCCTTGGGGGCAGAAGAGCCTTCCAGTTGTGCTCAGTTAAACCCACAGCATCATGGGTTGCAATAAAATGGTTGTGGCTTTCGGCAATTATATTTTAAGTTACTTTGTCATACGGCGACCGAGGTGCAGAGCTATAGGTGGCTTATGGACCTGAGAAAGCCTGCTCAGTAGGTATCAAAACTTGAAAAAGGTTTGCATCTCAATGAGTGGGAAGTTTCCCTGGATTAAAATGCACATTTTCCTTCCCTCTTACACAGACCTTACCCACGGTGATTAACCCTTTCCTGGTGTTTTGAATGGACCAGTGTGAAAACCCATGTATGGCTGTCTTGGCTCTGTGACATGATGAGGGCCTACCCATCTCCAAGTTAATTGGCCACTGGTACTAACAAGCCCCCTGCCCCATCTTCTTCTTTGGATATTTAAAATGTAAAAACGTGTTACACTTACTGTTCACTTTTCTGTGTATTGGTGTCAGCTCTCTCCTGATAATTTCCTAAACTGTGCTTTTCATTTGAGACCAAGAAGCTTTTTAGAGATGTCTGGGGTATCAGTGAGCGGACTCTGGGAAAGGGCTGGCTCCCTCACGCCCTCATACTCAGGAGTGTTGCACCAGTCTCCTGACCCTATTGCTTCACAGAATTCCACATGAATAGGCTGCTGGACCTGAGCTCGGGATGGTGAAGAATTTTCACATTGTCTTTATAAATACATTTAGGTACCTACTGATAAAATGCTGGAGATGGAGAAGACACAGCAAATATTTTTGTGCCCTGATATGCCCAAGTTTCATTTTTGTTGCCATGATTAGAATATTCTGACAAGAAAGCCCTTTGAGAGGCCAGAGCAATGGCTCAGTAGTGGTAAAGGTGCTTGCAGCCAAGCCAGGCCACCAAGTTTAATCCCAGGGACTCACATGGCAGAAAGAAGATAAGTGGCCCTAGAAATATTTGTTCTCTGGCCCCCACACTGCACTGTGACACACACATAGACACACAAACAACAGACAAATGTTTTTAAACTAATTAGTGGGAGAAGGGGTTTATTTTAGCTAACAATTCCAGGTTACAGTTCACCATTGGGGAAATCAAGGCAGGGACTTCAAGCAGCTGGCCACATGACATCCACAGTCAAGAAAAGGGAGAAGCGAGTGCTGACAGGCTTGCTTGTGTGCATGTTTGACAACTCGCTGTGCTTGCCTCATTTCTCTAACACAGCTCAGGACCTCTTGCCTAGGGAATGGTGCTGCCCACCGTGGGCTGAGCTGCCTCACACCAGTTAATTAAGGCAATCCCCCGTAGGCATGCCCGCAGGCCAACCCAGTGAACATAATCCTGCACTGAGACTCTCTCCCCAGGTGACGGCCTAGGTTGTGACAATTAAGATGACCATCACACATTCCTTCCATTTGGGAGAAGATCTAGATTGTTTGACTTGTGAGAAATTTCAGAGCTGCTATTGCTATTAAGAGTTAATATTTCTATCAGGATTTGAACTAGGGCTCCTAACTCACAGGCAGTTCTCTCAGGTACTTCTGTGCTCATTCCATTGAGTGATCTGTATGCCCCCATTGATCCCAGAAGGTCTAAGACACATTCCTATGCTAGCCTACAGGAGCACTGTCTGCCCAGGTGAGCTGCTCTGCAGCCAGGCCACACATTCTGGGCCTGATGGGGGAAGTCCTGTGATTATGTCAATAAAGCACTGTTGGCCAATAGGGAAGTTAGATAGATGGGACTAGGAGTCCAGGAGGACTCTGGGTAGGAGAAACACAGAGAGTCAAGATGTAATGCCATGGGGTAGGAAGCCCGGAAACCTCTCTGGTAAGAGACATATTTAGATTAGCAATTATGGGATAAATACTTAAGTCAGAGCTAGCCAGTAAGAAACAAGCAAGACCAACAGCTTCATAATTAATATAGCCTCCTGTGTGTTTATTTGGGACTGATGCCGCTCTAGAACCAGGCTGACGGGAAGGCTTCTCTCTCAAGGAAAAAGCTTCCCTTTACACTGGGCCTATTTATTCACTAGTCACTTCCACCACCTCCGAAGTTTATGAAACACCAATGAGTTAATCCACCCTGAGTTCCTAGGGCGGCGTCTGGATCTTGGGTGTTGCTTTATCATTATCAGCCCTTGTGTGTATTCTCAAGGGGCTCAGCTCTAGGCCATGAAGAGTGAGGCCCCGGGGAGTTGCATTAAGGACTGAGAAATAGAGAGACCCACAGAGAGACCTTGGAACATTCATCTCTAAACAGGATGCCTCCACCGAATCCCACCCCTCAGTGAAGCCTGAGGAAGAGGAGGCAGGAAGAGCATTAGAGCCAGAGGGGATGAAGGACACCCAGGAAACAAGCAAACCGACATGCTCAAAGCTCCCATGAGTGAGGCAGCATGTCTTCCAGGGAAGTCCAGTCCAGGACTTAGTGAGGGCACCTGCCAGGAAGCAGTTGTCCCAAGAAGAGATGGCCTGCAATGAGGGATAATTCCTCAGCTCCCAACTCCATCAGCTCCAAGGAAACTGTCAGGGCCCCTCTATCTGTTTTGGGAAGAATTTAGTCAGTATTCAAGGGGGGCAGTAGATCAATAGCAGATTTTCCTGCCCATCATTTGAGCTCAAGCATTCAGCCTATGATCTAGAATTTCTAAATTGTAATGGAAAAAAAAAAAACAATGGCAAGATTTTTTTAAAAATCTGAACTGCCCCGAGGAAACCACTATTTGGAGTCCGGGTTTATCACGGGTCTCAAGTGAGCTGACTGTGGTAAAGGGTGACACCTTAGGCTAGCCAGAGGATTCAGGGGGAAGCTTTCATCACTGCCTGGCTTAAGCTACACGCTTAGACATAGTATTTGTGCTGGGCCTTGTTGTTTCTCCTCCAACTTACTTCCCTAACAGAATCCCTGTACTCTGAGTTAATCACACAGAAACATCCAGAACAACGAAGGACATTGCAGGACCCAGGACCAGCCCCGTTGTCCGTGATTTCACAGAGACCAGGCACTGAGGTGGCCAGTAGCCAATAGCCCAGAAAAAGTGTTTACCGTTGACGAGACTAGGAGACAAAGATGAGTTGGGACTCTAGGGCCAGTGCCTTGAAAGCAACCGCCTGGTCCATGTCCTTCACCAGAAGCTGAAATGCCCTTGGTTCTTTCTCTGCCAGAGGCCAGAGAGGCCAGGAGAAATTCTGATTCCCGGTCTGGTTTCTTACCTTTCATATCCTGAATAAGCTCCCTTCCTGGGACTGTATGTGACGGTGTGGCAGAGACACTGGTCCAGATGCAAATCTCTTTTGGTGAACAGCTTTGGCACCAGATCTCCAGATTTTCATGATGGAGATGGCTTATCTCTGTTTCCCCATTTCAATCCGTTTCTTACATGAGGTCAGGGTCTCTGCTCTTTAAGGAGGAATTCTACAATAGCTTGAGGTTACTTGGGATGAACCCCTCCTTCATGGCCAGGTGTGGCCCCACCTCCCAATTCCCCTGTAATACTAGAACTTTGACATATAAGCCTCCTGTCTCAAAGAATAAAATCTGCCTCTGGCCTCAGGTGGAGACAAGATACTTTGATCTGCTTCAGGGATTGAGGCCATTGCATCCTATTGTGTCTTCCTTTAGAGTCAAGTCCAGCTGGGCCTGTCAATCAGCTGGCCAGGAGCCCAGCCCCTTGGGGAAGCTGATTTACCTGAGGACACACCAGGGAGATGGGAGGAATAGTTATCCCTCTAAGGAGACATTGTAATTCTTCCTAGAAGCCTCTCTTCTGTGTAGCTGCTTGCACTTTCGTCTCCGGCCCACTTTCCATAATCTTGACTTATAAAAGCACAATTTCTCATTTTCTTTCTTTCTGCTAGACAAACCTGGGGGTGTTTGTTTTCCCAAAGACTTGGGGGTTTCTCACTCTGTCTGAAAGAACACTTTGTAGCCCCCATTGCCAAACCTGCTTGACCTCTTGGACACTAACATAAAAGGCATGGCTTTCATTCTTCCCTCCCTGGGACACTGGCTGCTCTGTGTCTTTCCCTCAAATGCTAATAAAATTGCCCTGTGCTTCCTTTCAATTTTGTTTCTAGAATCTTTTATTAACAAGACTAGGGACCCAGTGAGGGAACCTTGATTTCACTGGCAAGTTGTCTCTGCTTTGTACACGAACAAACCAACGCTTAAAGGCAGTAAGTTTTTCAGATTTCCACAGCTATTAAGATTAAAGAACTGTGGTAATTTTTGTCCTAGCTTTAAGAACCATTAGTAGTTAAGATTTAAGAATCATCTCATTAATTATCCAGAGATGTTCTCTTGTGTTTCTTTTCACATTGCTCTTCACTTAATAACGTTTTATAAAGAGCTTCCACTGTGTGTGTCTGCAAATATAACACTGAGGATGGAAGAAAACTACACAGGACAATTGTCTGTTAATCCCATGGAAAATAATGGAAGCTCAGAGATGGAGAACCGTGTGGGCCAGAGGATCTGGGGGAGGTTTCTTGGGGAGAGTGAGCACTGGTGTGGGTCTTGAAAAATGAAAAATGAATCCTGCAGGGCTGAGTGAAGCAAAGGCAAAGGGAGTACACGGAACTAAAAAATAATCCATATAATGTTTTAAAGCAAGGGTTTGTTGTGGCTCACCATTTGAGGGTCAGTTCACGACAGAGACGGTGGGACAGCAAGGACGTGAGGAAGCGTTTCACGTTGTGTCCACAGCCAGAAAGCAGAAGGCAATGATGCATGCTTGTGGTCCCCTCATTTTCTCCTCTTTATTTGGCCTGGGACCCCAACCCAGGAGATGGTGCCACCCACATTTGAGATGACTCTTTCCTGCTCAGCTAAGCCAGAAACTCCCTCACAGCCATGTCCAGAAGCTTGACTGCTAGGTGATTCTAGATCCTGCCGAATTGACAGTCAACATTAAATATCACATTCTCTCTAACAATACTTCATCCACTGGGACACAGCAACGTTCACAAATGCTGGTATCATTGACCATGTTTGCGCACACGCGCTTCCATTTTAGATCAAGAACCCCACGGGGTGGCTTCCACACCTATTATTACCCTGTTTTGAAATGGAGAGAACTGAGATTCATACCTTACCCGAGTCTAGGAAGTGGGAGCACCACAGCTGGAGCACTCCCATCCGGATGGATGCTTTGTAAGAGGGAGATGGTGCCGTGTGCTCCCAGCTGAGCTGCCGCGTTGTTCTCCAGCCTCGTCGCCTGCAGGTTGCTCCTCTGTCACAGTCCCCTCACCTCGCACGTGTGGAGGCAGAAGACTGCGAAGTTTCAGTGTCTGTGGTTTAATGCTTAACCTCAAATCAAAGTGCTGGTTGGGTCAGTCATGAATGTGAACAGCAAAGCTAAGAGGTTCCAGCCTGTGGATTGATGTCTGAGGAGGGAACTCTTCCCTCACTGGCTGTGAAAACAACAAGAAGCCCCGTCTCTCAGGCCTCACCCGAAGCTGCTCTGCTACCTCCAACCCCTCTTTCCAGCCCTTCAATACAGCAATAATTCCGTTCATGGTTTCCATGACAACGTCCCTGATGACCCTTTCAAGAGACTCAGGAGACTTGAATGACACAATGACTACTCCATGGCAGTGAGCCGCTGTACCACCTACGGTTTCTTTCACACTGTGTGCACCCATAATCAACTGTCATCACTTAGGGGACACTGCTCCCCACTGAGAATCCATGGTGCGGAGCACTTCCTGTGTGAGGAGAGGCCTTCAGGAAATGACCGGAACTCCGCCCCTCCCAAAACAGGCCTTGCAAGCCAAGCCCCACCCTCCTTAGAACTTAGAGGAGCCAGAGGCCCTGGGCTCCCTTGAGTCCAAGTCACCAAGGCTGTTCCCAGACCTTTTACTCTGGAGGATTCCAGGGGCCTTCTGCTGCGTTTCTGTCCAGCCGCCGTCGGCGAGGGCTCCCCGTTCGGAAAAACTGGCAAAGACCAGCCGCCTGGGTGGAACCACGTTTTTATGGCATAAAGAATAATTTTAGTTTTTGCTAACAGAATAGAAAAATCCGAAACGCTGTTTATAATGAAACCCAAGACTGAATGGAACAAATCCCTCAACAACCAAAAAAAAAAAAAAAAAAAAAAAGCCAGTCACTTCTATTGAAAAACCGAAAACGGCAGCATTTAAATGGCCAATCCTAGTCAAGATAGCGTTTCAGTGTCTTTAACCAGGGAAAGAATGCGAAGCTGAAGAGCCAGCCGCTACTTCATCACTTTAACCCCCCTCATCTTGAATGGGAAAGCCTTTCCACCCCACGTTAGCACCTCGGGACAGTTATTTTAGTGCTTCTGGAGGGGGCCGAGGGAGAAAATCACGTGCCACCCTCCTTCATTTAGCAAATATTTATTAAGTGCTGCTCTTTGCCAGGCATCACAGGGGGAGGTGCTTTTTTGTTTTTTAATTTAAAAACTCCATTAAGAAAAGACTTGGGACTTCTCTTGGACTCATAGCAGGCCTAGATTTACACTTTACACCGAAGCTCTAACTGCAGAGTGGGAAATTATTATGAAGGCAGCAGGAGACTGGGGAGCTAGATCAGCCTCTGATCCAGCTCTATGGGATGGATAGCCAGTTACTTAATGTCTCTATGACCCAGTTTTGCCACTTATGGAGTTTGGGAGCTAGGAGCTGAAGACAGGATTAAGAAAGAGGTTAAAAGTGCTTGTTGTTCTTCCAGGGGACGTGAGTTCGGTTCCCAGCACCCAGGTCAGGCAGCTGGAAACATCTTATAACTCCAGCTCAAGAGGATCTGCTGCCATCTTCTGGTCGTCTCTGTGGGTATTGCACTCACCTGAGCACACCCACACACAGACACATAATTAAACATTTTTAAGTAAATAAAAAAAATAGGAGCCATTCTAGAGAGTAGCTCTCAGTAATTGCTGGCATCTGGGGAGCCTCAAGAAAATAGTAATTTTCAGATCCTATCCAATACTGACTAATTCAATGTCTCTGGAAATGTGACCAGCACAGTTACGTTCTGAAAGCTACTACAGTGATTTTTTCCAGTTCTGTCTCCTGTGAGAAAGGCTAAAGATGAAACCCTAGAGAGGGTGACATTCTAAAACAAGATGGACCCCTTGCTCCTGACCACCAGTGAAATTAAGAGGAGGGAGCGCTCTCACCCTAGTATTTCTGGTTCTGGTTTGACCACATTGGTGACTTCCTTCTTCTCCCTCGCCATCTGTTTCCTGGTTCCCCTTCTCCTTTGGCCCAGTGGCTATGGTCTCACGTCCACTGTCCCTTCCATAGGAGGTGGCTGCATGCATCTACACCAAGAACAGAGTTCACCTGCCATCCCGGGAAGGATGGCTCCTCAGTTAAATGACAGTCTGCTCTACATACAGGAAGTACGAGCAGGGGCAGGAGGCCAGGCTGCTAATCCACCCATGGTCTAGCTCTGTGGGAACATGGTCAGACACCTAATGAAAGCAGTTTCAAGTGCAAAGGAAACTCTTTTTTTTTTTTGAGGGATTTGTTCCATTCAAATTGTGTTTCATTATAAACAGTGTTATCTCCTACTGGTTGCAGCAAGGGTGAAAACAAACCCTGCATAGCATCCTCTCTCAAGGATACATGCATCGTGGACACTTGACTTCCACTGCGAAACCAGACACTTATCCAGAATTTAACTGAAAATGCTAGGAAGTGTGAAAAAGACCAAGAAATCTTCTGGTCAGAAACTGCTGCTCACTGCCCAACTCCAGACACACCAGCATTTCTTACTGGATGTTTTTCAATGTCTGGATGCTGCTCTTAGTAAAAGAAAAAAGAATGGAAATTCTAATAAATTAAAATGTTCTTTTAAAGATTTCCATACTGGAAACCCTAAGTCCCTCTCAATTGACACTGAGACTTTAAGTTTCCTGAATAATGACCCAAACATGAAATCTACTCAAGTAATGTTCCCTTCCTCTTCCTACAGGAGAAGAATATTTTGCATTATGGAAGCAATAATGGATCATTTTTCTTCAGTGTCTTTCTTTTGGCCTTCAACCCCCAAGCCCTTCAAGGATAAGAACCCCAAATCAACCCCACTCTCTCCCCCCAGCTGTGTCCAGCACTAAGCTGTGTGAAGGAATTAGTGTGCTAATGGGTGTTAACATGGAGGAGTCCCTCCGTGAAGCCCTTTTCTGTAGTTTTCCTTTCATAAACTGCTCTCCATTCCGTGTTCTCCCAAACACACTTTCCCACTACACGAAGATGTGATCCGTAAGATCAAGGAGCCTTCCAGTCATGCCCCTGTGCTAAACACACCATTTGTACCCTGGCACAGTGCCAGCACCCCAGCCCTCCCCTGTTCTCCAGGAAGCTGTGCCTGGGTGATGGTTGGAACCTTCGCGAAGAGGTCGGCTCTTTGGGTGTCTCATCTGGACATGGGAAACTTCCCCCTACACCCAAACTACTTTTTAACTGTTATGTTAATATATATATACACATATATATACATACACATACATATGTGTATGTATATATATGTGTATATATATATACACACACATATATATATATATATATATATTGAGTTTTTTGAGACAGAGTTTCTCTGTATTGTTTTGGAGGCTGACCTGGAACTAGCTCTTGTAGACCAGGCTGGTCCCGAACTCACGGAGATCTGCCTGCCTCTGCTTCCCGAGTGCTGGGATTAAAGGTGTGCGCCACCACGGCCCAGCGGCCTGGGGGATAATTATACGTTTATAGGTTGCAGAGATGAACAGGTTCCCCTAACATCTTTCACTAAACTTCATCCACTTCACCAAACCAGTCTGTAGCTCATATGCAACATTCACTCAAACGTCTGTGTGAAAGGAACGGTAGACTGAGAAGCTATCTTGATTTGCCTGTAACTGAAACTATTTCCAGACTATGAAACTTTCAGTTTTAACACCAGGAGAGTCCCAGGCAAATAGGGGAGAGACTGACGACCTGAGAAATATCCATGTAAAACTGCTAAGCCAGCAATACCCATGTGTCTGCTGCCCATGGGTAGCTCTTTTTCAGATGACCCTCAACACCCTCATTACACTCTTCTTTAATTCCCCAAACCTTCCTTTGCCATCAAAAGGTGCGTTTATCCCAGTGTGATGCAAAGAATCCAGAACAGGGTAGCCAGAGGCAAAGGCTCTCATCTTTCTCCTGCCACCAGTTGGTTGAGTGGCCTTTACACAGTAAAGGAACCGGTCTATCGTATCCTTTCTTACTCTTGGTGGTAAGGACATTTGGGGCGGATGTGATTGGAGTCTGGTGTGTCCTCCATGCTGGGAGGTCAGTGAGTCCTTAGGGGGTAAGAGCTGACTAGTGGACACAGGCTGTTACCAGTGGGCTCTGGAAGGCCTTCTCACACACACACTCTTAATGCCATACCTTCTTCAGCACCCTAGCTGAGATGTCTCTGAACCGCCTTCATTTGTTCCTATCAGATATGTCTTCATGGTGTTACAAAAACGACTAATGCAGAGGTCCCGCTAATTCTCTGCGAGTGTGGGGTAGAACACAGCATCACCCTGGCCTCTACTTACTAGGCCATCATGCAGGGGTGGGGGGGTGGGGGAGTGGAACCATCAAACATGTCTCTAGACATTACCAAATGTTCCCTAGGGATAATGCCATCCTTGATTGAGAACCAGTCAAAACTGGTTCCCAGTCATTTCCAGTTCTAAAGCTTTTGACTGGCTTTATCCCCAGCAAACTGTGAGTCATTTATAGTTTCCCTCCACCACCCATGATGATTTGCATTTTCAAATTATTACCTTTTGGGGGAAAAAAAAGTCTAGATGAAACCTTCCTGAAAATTAAAAGCAGTCTTTTTTTTATGGTAGGGTTGAGCAACTTACATTTCCCTTTGCTTCCCTCATAACTGAACTCATGTGAAATAAACCAACTGGATGCTATTTAATTCAAATGAAATCTGTGAAATGTCAAGCCAGCACTGAGGAGCATGGGCTTAGACAGGAAAAAGATGGCCACCCTCTGTTACTCACCTCACCTTAGTGCTATTATGACCTTTTCATATGCTTTGACAATTACATGATGTGTTTATTCAAAATCAGTTGGCAAACAAATGCAAGTTCTGAACTACTTTTCGTACTAATAGCAGTCCTCTGTTTTGGTTTTGGGGTGCCTCACCTAGAATCATCCAAAGCCTATTGGGTCTAACCTTCTAGAACAGTCAATGGGAAAGACTGGCCTATGCCAACAGGTCTGTCTGGCAGAGAGGGCATCCTAGGAGATGAACTTCCTGGAAAGGGAAACCCACAAACACTTCCAAGAGCAGGTGAATTTTCCAATAGCATGCCAGATACTTGATTGCAGGACACGAACCCATCGGCGTCAGAACTGCGGTGGTCTGTGTTTCTCCCTCCCCACTTAGTAAGTGTTGAATAGATGCAGAAAGCCCTCAGCTATAGTGGTCTTTCCCTGCCCCTCAAGAAGAAAGTAAGAGAAGCAAGAGAAAGGGTTACTACCCTTTGGGTATTGTCCCTCAAAGGCCCTGAGGGAAGTCTTGGTCTCTAGCCTGTGGTGCTTGGGGGAAGGGGTGCTTGGGGAGGGGCTGGAACCTTTGGGAAGTAGGGCCTAGTAGAAGACATCATGGTGGGGGGTGGGGGGATGAGTCTCTCTGTCTCCCTCCCTTCTCCTCTCCTTCCCCACCTCTCTATCATTCCTTCATTCCAGCAAATCCCCACATTTCTCAGCCACCATAAGGGGAACACCTTTTAATCACAGGGCCATGCTTCCCCTCCTCCCTCTGCAGGGCCTGAGTCCTTGAGCCAGAGTCTCTTTATAAGGTGGTTGTCTGGTGTCTGTGTGTCACAGCGACAGAAAACTAATGCTGTGTTCTACTCTATGCCTCCTGCTAGCAGATCACACTCAGCAAAGGTCCAAACAGTAACAGGAGTAGGACAATTTAGAACACCTGTCCAAGTGAGGCAATTCACGAGGCCATTCCTTCCATTGTGAACTCCTTAGTGTAGACCCACTGTTAGAATCCAGACCTACCACAGCCCAGGTCACAGTGCCTGCAGCAGCCCTCCCTCCTCCCCAGTCTTGGGACTCTGGCAAGTGCTCTGTGGAGCATTGTATCTCCAGCAGCGCACAGACTCCTGAGGGCATTTGTAGACTCCGACATATCAAAAGGCTACCTATTTTACCCGAGGCAGCGCTTGTCCCTCCCTCTCCTCCTCTGCCTCTTGCTGGGGACTCCCTGACACACTGTGCGTCTGTTGGTCCATGGATGTGATAATGCTTCCAATGAACGTTTTACCCTTGACAGTCCACCCCAGTGTCTCCATGAGTTGCCCACCTGAGACCTTTCACTTATGGCCAAGAAGACAAATGCTAGCTGTTGTGGTGGTTTCAATACCTCCCCAGCTCTCGAGCTATTTCCAGTCTAGGCAAATGAGGCTGGAGGAAGCCATCTCGACGTTACAATCCCAATGCGACATGGTTCCAGGTGAATGGCTTCATCTCTGAGACAAGCCATCTGAGGAAACTCCCTTGGGGTTCATGACCCCAGCCTCCCTCATAGATGACGGAGCATCACTGAAGTAAAGGAAATGTGGCTGACAAGGAATTGCATCTACTTCATTAATGATTAACCCTTCTCAGGCTTTGAAACTCGTTTTCTGGACTCTCATAAACCATAGATTTGGTTCTATTGTGGAAAGCATAGGTTAGCAGTGAATGCTTCCATTAGTATCACAAACTACCTAAGGTCGAAGTGAAATTATAAAGAAGCTTAAGATAGTTTTGGAATGTTTTGTTGTTCATTTACCCCTTTCTAGAAGTTGCAGCTTCTGGGCAGAATTGCCTTCAACTTTCAGTTGATGGAAAGCCAATTAGATTAGTTCCTAATGACTAGAGCTGTCAGTGTTCGCTTGAGTTCAATGGGACCAATAAACCCTTATCCAGCTGTGTCTTAGAGTGCTATAATAAAATACCACAAGCAGGATTCCTTACCAACAATAGAAGTGTATCCACCACAGTCCTGAGAACTGGAATATTACTCAGGGACTGGTGGAAACTGATTTCTGCCTTATAGATAATATCTACTCCCGTGTCTGCCTGTGGTGGATGAGCTTGCTGTCCTGAGGGGTGGGGGTGGGGTCCTCTAGAAAAGGCAAAAATTTCATCCATGTTGCTTCATCATGACCTAGTACTTTCTAAATTCTGCCATGTCAAGGGTTAGGGGAGTTGAGGGAAATAGACACTTAGCAGAGGGAAAGCTTTCTCTCTCCCATAATTCGACAACACTTTCAACGTTTTCCAGTCTCATCTCTTTTGACTAGCTTCCTGTTTCCCACACATTTATGTCACTAATGGCTTCTTCCAATGTGGCTTTGATCAACTTTGAATAACTGTTTAGGGCTAGAGACTCAACCTGGCTGCAGAGCATTCACCAGATATAACCAATGTGTGCAATCTTCAGCTGTGCTTACCACAAACAACAAACAAAACAACTTGTCAGGCATGGGGCAGGACCGCCCGTATGACCCTATTCCCCGTAACTTTCTGATGCTGATGTTACCATGACATCAAGACCAATAACATGAGCTGAGTGCCTCTTTCTGTTCCCAACAGAGAGCCTAGCCATCTTGATGCAACTTGCTTTGCAAAATCCCTTCTTGGGTGTCAACTTCTTTAGCAACAAAGAAGACAAGAAGGCAGAAGGAAGGCCAGGCCAGTCTGAAACAAAGGTCACAGGAGTCCTGATTGCACAGCCCATCTGGTACTGCAGTGTCCTCCAGAGCATGCTTGGATCCTAATCACCTCATCTACAAACTGCAGATTCCTTCAGCTCCTGATTGTCTGCCGTCACATGGCTAGTTATGAAAACCAGCATGCTGCCACCCCCACCTCCGCCTCCTCTTCTCCGGGCATATGTAGGGTGCACACAGTAGTGCCCCCCACAAAGACCATAGTTTTGTATACTTTGGTCATAAAAAGCACGCTTCGTTTTTGCTTCCTGTGCGTCCATCCCCCCACCCCCTCCCTCGCTCACTCTCTTTTTCCATAGGGCTTGCAGATACTTCCCAGCAGCCAAATAGAAGTCATTACCAGAAGCACCACAGCTAAACAGAGGGAAATGTTTAGGTAAGCACTATAACGGGCATGGAAATAAAGAGACCACAATTCAAAGCGTAAGTCACCCTAGATGAGCGCACACATGTCTGGGGCTGAGTTTATGAGAAGAGAACGGGATGGACTGTGCTGGCGAGTCCTCAGGCTTGTGTTTTCTCAGTGCCAGGAGTGATTTATTTTCTGGTAAACAGTTTTGCTCAAGTAAGGCATCCAATTACTACAAACCTTGTTTAGTATAAAAACTAACTGCATAGAAAAATATTGCCTTAGCAAGGTTTAACTGGTTGTTAATCCAAACATGTGGTGGAGCCCGGATTCCAGGGCTCAAAATACTCTCTGGTGATTTTCAGCAGCATCCCAATGTCCAGAGATCAATAATCATCACTGACAAGCATGCGTGATACAGACCTAGTGTAGGGGAAAGACGACATTTCCAGAAAAAATCGTGGGATGGAAACCAAGACCACTGGGGGAGGCACAGCCTCCCTTAGGTGGACCTCGGCTCCTTTGAAGTAGGAAGCTGGGCTACAAGGAATGTGGAGATGAAAAAGAGAATTTTTCAAGATCCTCCTTTCTACACAAATTTTTTTTTCACATACAGATCTCTTCTCTGGGATTTTTCATCACCTAAGGAACTAGATTTAAAACAGACACTTCATCCAGTACCCCTTTGTAAGGAAAGCAATGCACTAGACTAGCATTTTTTAACAACAACAAAATCGAATACTTCTTCCTCACCTTCTGGGTCTGCCTCTCAGCATCTTACAAGACCCGGTTGTCATACTTTATACATTTTGCTTTCAATTTTTAAAAAAAGCATGTGAGAATTCATGATAGAAAGAAAACCAAATGAAAAGTTGAAAGACACCCCATCATCAAGAAATCAAAACACCTTAGAAATGCAGTGTCTTTATCCAAAGTCTATTTTATGAGGAGAGGGTTGTAACAGCCAACTTCCCAGTTCCAGTTCTGGCTCTCTTGTGCCAGATCTGGGTTTCCCGCTGGGCTAATAGTTCTCCATGGCCCCTAGGAGGTGTCTAGTAACGTTGTCTTCTAAACCCTGTATTTGCCTTCTCTGCCTACCCGTCCACTACAGGGTTTGTTTAAAATACTTTTCCTGTTTCAAGGTGGCAGTTGGCAGTTAGAAGGATCCTAACTGACTCTGGAGCACTCTGAGTGGGAAGGAGTGGAGAGTGTCAGCTTACCCCAGCAAGCAGGCACAGCCTTGCCACAGGCAGCAGGCTCCTGGGTGCTGGCCCAGCCTCCTCTGCCACAGACTAGTTGCTGGGCTCACAGAAACATGGCACTCCGAAGGCTTGGCCTACGGAGTCCCTGTTCTCCACCATGCCTCTGCTGGCTAGCAGACAGGTAAGGAAGCCATTCCTCGGAGTGAGTTGATGCAACAGATCACATTAATGTAAGAATTCCAGACGAGGAGGGTTTCCAAATTCTCTTTGCTTGTTCATTCCAGTTTTGCAACCCTATCAACCAAGACCTGCCTCATCTCTCACCCTAATTTCCCTTGGTGCAATTCTAACCTCCTGGTTTTTTGAATCCCCCCACCCCCTGTCTTCACTAGAAATGAAAAACAGCTGGACACTGTCCTCGGCCTAGTAACTCTCCGTAAGTGGGAGGCCATTATTAAATCAACGAGGTCCTTGTCTTCCCCAGGTTAAATGACGCCAAGGCTTTCAGCTTTCCCTCCCGGTTGCTGCTCTCTAATGCTTACTATTTTCATGACTTCCCACGTCACTCAAATTCTGCAGACCCCAAGTAGGAATTTTAGGCGGATCTAACTAATATAAAACTGTGTGTGTGTGTGTGTGTGTGTGTGTTGTTTCATTGTTCCAATGTCAGTCCATTTTTAAAAACATTTTTTTAATTTTGAAAAATATTCAAAAATATTGATAGTATACATGCTGAATTAAAAAACAAAACAAAGTGAGAACTTAAGTGCTTACCACAAGCTATTTTTTTCTTTTGACTTTGTCCCTGTTTTAAGAGGAAGCAGAAGAGGAGTACAATTTAAAGATGTGTGTTTAAGTGTGTGTGTGTGTGTGTGTGTGTGTGTGTGTGTGTGTCTGTGTCTGTGTCTGTGTGTCTGTGTGTGGATGTGCATGGTGTATGGATACCCCCAGGTACTAGAGGTGTTGGATTCTGGAGCTGGAGTTACACAAAGTTCTGAGCCACTGGACACAGGCCTGGAAATTACACTCAGGTTCTCCAGAAGAGCTGAGAATACTCCTGGCCATGAAACGGTCTCTCCAGCCTGTCGGTGGGCAGACTTTAAATGACATTTTCCTGTCAGTTTCCCTGGTTGCATTTTAAGCCAATGACACAGCTCTAAGTCAGACACACATATCTCTCACGGTCTCTTCCAGGTTGACAATATTTAGCTGGGACATTAGAAGTTTCATAAGACAATGCTTTGCAAAAATGCCAAAGAAGTCATGTCAAGGAGTCTCTAAAGTCATGTCAAGGAGTCTCTAGATAAAGAACGGTTTTAAGATCTGCACTCTCTTGGTGTGGTCTGTGTGATGGACCCATTCACGTCTGAGCAAAGACACGTTTTCATAGGGAGATGTCAAAAAAATAGGAGTTTAGTTACGTTTCTATTTGAGGCTGTTGCTAATCATTTGTCATTCAAACTGTCAGGGGTAGGGTTTGTTTGAGATGCCACTGAGTTACAGGCTGAAGCCCTCATACACGTATCATCAAGAATTTTCAACTCTTCCTTATTGGTTAAAAACATTCTACTTCATGATAGCACTGGAATGAAACAACCAGCTGTCATTGCTGTTTTGTGGATTCGAGGGAAGCACGACCATGCGGTAACACGGTAGGTAGCTTTGGTCCTCAGCTTCTTAGCCATTCTCCTCCTGAATCTCTGGCTGAGTCAAAAAGTCAAAAAGTCTGGGAAGAGGGCTCAGTGGGTGAACGTGCTCACCACACAAGCCTGGGAATCTGAGCCTGAGTCCCCAGAACCGACGTAAATCAGGCCCAACAGCAGCGTCTGTGCTCCCGGAGCTGTGGACACAAAATGGGAGACTGAGGCAGGAGAATGTCCAGAAGCTCACGGGCCTGCCAGCCTGATATGCACTGTATAAAAATAAGAGACTGTCTCGAACAAGAGGGCAGGCAGGGGCTGACACGTAAGGCTGGCTCTTGACCTCCACATACTTGCCCTGGCACACACAGCCCTCACTCATATTTTTCCCTAGAGCAACCACTGAAATCCTCAGTTTTTATTTTTTTTAAGATGTGGTCTCATGTAGCACTGGCTTGTCTCAAACATTCTCTGTAGCCAAGGTTGGCTTTGAACTTCTCTGATCCTCCAGATTCTGTTTCTCAATGGCTTCAGAGACAAAAGTACACTGCAACCCCAGCTCAGACCTCAACTGGCCTTAGCACGAGTGCATGTCAATCCGTGCACAGCTTGCTTCCTGCATCCTGTCCCTTTATTTGATAGCAATGCTTTCCCTTGGGTTCTGTTAAAATATTTTTAAACCATCTCCATGCTTCCCAAGAAATTATAGCACATTGCACCTCTCCATGCGTCCATCTGAGCCAGGGTGCTCTGTGGCTGGTCAGTACTAGAACGGTCATATCAGTAGCTTAGAGTGAGTCAGCCTCCACTTTGATTGGTGACGATGTCCTTTCTGGTTGAATGTAGCAACCGTTACATTTGGTCTTGGCATTCATCCCTTCCAACTGCTCAAGCATAAATTAGTTAAGGTTAGCCAAGAAACAAGTGTGTTCAGATAATATCAGAGCAACTGGGTGACAACCAGTCGGAGACATGACTGGTTCTTGTCGGGAAGTTCATCTTGGAACAGAAACAGAACGAGCCTCTCCTATAGTCGTTAGAGATTTCCTTACAGGATCTCTATAGGGTACTTCTTGCTTGCTTGGAGGCTGGACAGGTAAGTTAACAGTACTCATGCCGCCTTTGTGGCTAGGACATGCTGGGCCAGCAACATATCCCTGGAGAACATTTTATCTTTCCTTTTGGCCTCAGCTTCCTGCTCCCACAGAACCTGAATATTTTCCTCTAATCACCCTTTTCCTCTGACCATTCTTGTGCTAAGCCATCCTAGCCAACTTAGATGCTGTTGGAAACTCTATCCCAATTACTGAGCACAGCTGGAGTCAGCATGGAATTAGTCTTACAAGCTGATGGCACATAGGAAGACTTTTATATCCACCAAGCCTTGTCTTCAAGCCCTTAGGCACTGTTACTGCATATACCCCATTATTTCAAGGGATAAGTGTCCTGCGTTGGACCATAGCTTCAGTTCTTAATTCTAGCTCCTAGAAATAACTCACAGCCCTCTGTTCTTCCTCCCTATACCCCCCCACACACAGAGTGTATCCTCACATCATGATAGAATAAAAATGGATGTGGGCTCATGAAGAAAAAAACTATAATCCTTGCAATGGGGACACAGTTCAGCCCCGTGGCTTCTGGGAGGAGAACATGGAACTATGAAATATTGGTGGAGAACACATAAATGAGGAAACAGGGTGGGAAGATGTGTAATGGTCAGAGAAGGCTGTGGTCAGCAGGGAGCATGAACTACACTGTGCGTTGTTCCCGGGGCATCTTCTCCACCGGACAGCGATGTCCATGTGTCAGTATAGAGTGAGGAGATGAACACTCCAGAGGCAGGTTAGGTCCAGCATCTGCTTTATTTTGCATATGAGCAATCACATAGGGGAAGCCTACTGACTGATTGGTTAGCACATTACCTCGGATTGAACAGTGAGTGCTCAGATCACCAGAGTCTCTACGCAGAAGAAGCCGACTCGTCGGCAGGCCAGCTATGGCTACTCATGCCGCTTCAGAATTCAGTGTTCTGACTTCAAGAGCATGGTGTGCCATGCCTCTTCTCTAGAAGCAGTCACCAGGTCATGCCTGCTCTTTGTCCTATACCACTGTCCACACATGATGGACACCCCCGAGCGGAGCATCTGGCAAATGTAAGAATTTGAAGGTGTGTTCTCAAGCTTTATATTTCCAGAGAGGCCCCAGATCTTTAGAAGTAAAAAAAAACAGCTATTAGGCTGAATGGTTAGGATACTGTAATTATTTTAGCCCATAGTACCTAATTTAGTCATAGGAGACCTGGTTGTAAGGAAAACTACAAGTGGGTATGTTGGTCACTATGACAAAACACTTGACATGACTTTAAGAAATAGATGTTTATTTTGGCACATGGTTTCAGGGCTTTCAGTCCATAGGCCTGTGCTCCATCGATTTGTGCCCATGGTGAGGTAGACCATCATAACAAGAAGTACTTATCCCAGAGGCTCCTGACTTCCTGGTGGACAATAAGTAGAAAGAGAACCTTCAACAAAAACCTTCCAGTGTCCTCCATCCTCCTCCAGGTAAACTCCACATTCTTTTCTTCCTTCCTTCCTTCCTTCCTTCCTTCCTTCCTTCCTTCCTTTCTTTCTTTCTTTTCTTTGTTTTTTTGAGATAGCTCTTATAGTCCTGGCTGGCCTCGAACTCAAAGGTACTGGGATTAAAAGCATGTGACACCACCGTCCGCTGAAAAGCTCCACTTCCTAAAAGAGTGTCATCACCAGAGAACCAAACATACCAAGCATGGAACTATGGGACACAATTCATGTTCAAACTGTAACAGCTGTTCTGAACTGTGAAATTTATTGTCTAAGAAGAGATAAACGATATGATGTCCCAACTGCTGTTAATGTGAGCACTTTCGTCAAAGTTAAGACAGACATCAAGAAATCCCATCTGCAGGCTGGAGCAACCAGGCTTAGTTCCCAGTACCCAGACTGGGAAGCTCTCAGACACCTGCAAGTTTAGCTCTTCCTACACCCTTTTCTGGCCTACACAGGTGCCCACACACATGTCAATACACACATACACACACACACACACAAACTTTGGAACAAAAAGAATCTTTGAAAAGTTAAATAAAAATAAAAGTAGGCAAAAGTTTTATAATTTAAAGAAGAAATCTCTTGTCTGAAGACATAGCTCTTTGATGTCAGGCCCTTCCCCCAAAGAACATTGGAAATATTAGTATCAGAGGGCCAGAGCAAGGACCAGAATTTGACAAAAGGCACGGGATACACATAGAGACATTTCCCATCCTTGTGAGTGTAGGTATCTTTGTTAGCATCAGCAGGGTGCTAACAAATTGTCTTGAAGTGTGGCTTCTGTACAGATCAATGGTAGCCACATAAGCTCTTCTTCTGACCAAGAGAAAGACACAGATATTCTAAGACACTCCTGGGGAAAGCCTAAGTAGCTAGGGAAAGCAGCTAGCAGTTCCATTATGGGAGAGACTGAAGCACAGCCAGACTCCATCCATCAATGCGATGCTTACCTTGGAAATCCTGAGAATTCAGCATAAGTCAAAGGACATTTTCTTTGCTTTGTACAAAGCACAAGGTAGCAAATCAAGTATTCCTGAGCAGGAAGCTCATGGCAGAATTTTTGAGGAATGGGTGCATGCTGTGGCTAGGACTCAATGGTAGAGGACTTGTCTATGGTGCAAAGACCTGGGGTGGATCCCCAGCATTGCAAGACAAAGGAGGACCTAAGATATTAAATCAACCTCAAAATTGCAAGTTTGACTTCGAAGAAAAATGTCAAGGTCATTGTTCTTCCTAATAGGGTGATCAATCACTCTGAGACCAAGGAGATTCCAGGATTTGGAAATTTCATAGCTAAATCTGGGAGGACCTTAAACAAGCTGGATTCTCTGATCTCCCATTTGAGAATGCTGATGCAAGAATCAAGTCATCTGTGGTGGGACTGGACCAATGGCAGCATGGGAGGGACGCCTAGGGCTGACATCTAAAGGATGGTAGGACAAAAGCAGATCTCCTCAGCTCCTGTTCTGCAGAGAAGGAATGATCTTCTGGCTGAGAAGGTTACAATAAATATTGGTGTACGTCTATGAATGCTCAAGATGTCTGTAGACTTAGTAAGAGTTGGTCCTGTTGTCTAAAATCAATTCAAGAGTCTAGCCCTTGCTCAAATGTGAGAAACAGCAATAGATATTCCCAAACTCCTATGGATGGTCATTCAAGAAAAGTGCAACTTGTGTGTGCCACATGTCTCCCTGCAGGGGCCACAAGACCCACTTTCAAAGAGACTTATTTGATTGCTTTAAAAGAAAGAGTTGTGAGGTTTTCTTGAATGATTGATTGTTAATTGGTTAAACGATTGATTGCATGAGGGAGGTACAGGCATACAGATGCCACAATGTGTGTGTGTGTGTGTGTGTGTGTGTGAGAATGTGTCTGTGTGTGTGTAATCAAAGAATAACTCTCAAGGGTCGTTTCTCTTCTGCCAGCTTGGGGAATCCAGGGATTGAACCTGAGTCATCGGACCTGGCTGCAAGTGCCTCTGCCCCCTGAATCATTTCACCATCTTGGGTTGTGTATTTCTAATAAACACTATAGATGACTCTCTCTCTCAAAGACCAATATTTAGTAGACCACTCTTTGAGAAATTCTTTTGTAATTGAATATTGGCACATGGCCAATTGTTGAACACTCACTAGCTGGTGAATAAGCAAGCGAGAAAATGAAAATAAATTGATATTCAATTTTATTTACATCGATTAATTTTTAGTTTGTGTGCGCATGCCATGGTGCTCACATATGTGGAAGCCAGAAGGCAGCTTTGTGGAATCTGTTCTCTCCTTCTGCCATGTGAGCTCCAGGACCCTAACCCAGGTCATCAAGCTTGATGTCTTTACTCTCTGAGCCACCTCAGCAGGTCAAGATTTGAGATTTTTGAAAGAAAATGTAAATATATGAAAAGATGAGTGTCGTGTGTGTATATGTGTATGTCACTTTAAATTTCCAGTAGGAAACATACACGGCGTATTTCACAAAGCACAGCCAAGGGAGCCTTGCCAGTCCATGATGGATACAAAGCAATACCTTTTGGAGAGAACAAACAAGGAGTTGAGCGTGGCTCTTGATACCTCATCTTTCTCTAGAGCGGTGGTTCTCAATCTTCCTGCTGCTGTGAGCTTTGAATTCAGTTCCTCATGGCATGGTGACCCCAGTCACAAAATTATTTCATGACTACTTCCCAACTGTCATTCTGCTACTGTTGTAAACGTCTGATGTCCAGGGAATCTTATATGCCATCCCTCAAAGGGGTTGAGACCTCTATTCTTAATTGCACATAAACAGGATGCTGGATCACCTCCCTATGAGTTAGGATCCAATGCCCAAAGCTGAGCTTCAAGTTAGAAATAAATGATTCCTTGGCAAGTCAAAGTTACACTTGGGTCAATCCTTGCACAAGTGTAGACTGGGCAGTTGTGATGTGTATATGGGCAATGGGGGTGGTAAGCAAATCAGAGTCCTGAAACTCAATTTACTAAGCATCCCAGGTTGGCACCTCCCTGCCACTGTGTCGGCCCACAATCTAATAATGGCATTTCCTTCTATCTGGTTGCTTATTCTCTGAGAAACAAAGAAGAAACGAGTAACTCAGCGGAAAATTTCCTCCTAGATTTAAGATTTTTATCTTATGTTAACATCTGTTTCTGAAATAATGTGTGTGTGTGGTACTTTCCCCTCTCCTAAAGTTCTTTTGTGTTCATTAGCCCATCTGCTTCCCCAGCAGGCCCGTGAAGTAGCTGGGATGAGAGGTTTCACAACACCTGAGTCTTTCAGGCTGGGGCAGAGCTCAGAAGGGAGATTCGAACTCAGCCTGTTGATTGCAAATCTGAAACCACAGTCTGTCGGCTGTTGAGTTCTAGGTGGAAAACAGGGCAGTGTCAATGACTTACTGAGCTAATTTGCTCATAAAGAAATGGCTCGGGTAGCTGTGGTTGCTTCTCCGGATCAGCAGTGTATTTTTGTTTGCTTTCTTTCCAAATCTCAAAATTAACTTCATTATGCTCCTGAGTTGGCAAATGGTGACTATCTGCAGAAACATTCTGTGTCGGATGGAAGCATTCCTCTTGGATGTCTTGCAAAGGCCCATCAAGGAACATGATGGAAATTGAGCCTGTCATTAATGAGGCAGAGCAATCTGCTGCAGAGAAGGAAATCTCCTAAAATGACTGTGTCAGCAACCTCACCTCACTCCCTCCTAAAACAGATCAGGCCCGGGTTCCCAGAGGACAGGGAGCACGTGGATCAAAACCATGTCAGCCAGGGTACCCAGTGGAGCACACAGGCAGAGTGGGCGCTTGGAAATATACAGCAAATAAACTCTGCAGGAGCCAGAGAGAGGAGCAGGGCAGTCTGGAGAGACGGCTCAGTAAAGTGCCTGCAGTACAAGCAGAAGTTCTGGCCAAGAACCCAAGTAGAAAAGTTGGGTGTGGTGGCCTCTACCTGGATTCTCAACACTGGGGAGACGCAAATGGGCAAATCCCTGGGGTTCACTGGCCAGCCTTGCATACAATACAAGTGCTGGACAAAAGTAAGTCTATCACAAAAATCCAAGCTCCTGAGGAACAGCATGAAGAACAGGTTAGGGTGTGGCTTCCACATGCATACATATTTGTGCACGAATACATTCATACACACACATACACCCTGACACTAACACACACACGCACACACACACACACACACACACACACACACACACACACACACACCTTTTAAAAATAGTGAGCAAGGGCTGGGCATTGGTGGCGCACGCCTTTAATCCCAGCACTCGGGAGGCAGAGGCAGGCGGATCTCTGTGAGTTCAAGGCCAGCCTGGTCTAAAAAGTGAGTTCCAGGACAGCCTCCAAAGCTACAGAGAAACCTTGTCTCGAAAACCCCCCCAAAAAATAGTGAGCAAGGAACAAAACTTAAGAATAAAAATGTCAGGACCTAGGGGTTTCTTACCTTCCCTGGCCTTTCTCTGGGGCAAAGCACGCTAATGATGGGAAAGACAAGATAAACATCTCATTTCTCCATAATCTATACAAAATTCTCCAGTGACCTTAGGTAAGCCAAACAAATCAAGTCAAGGGAAGTGAGCAGCAGAAGAGGAAACAGCCCATTTTCCAAGTGGAGAATCCTAGCTACAAGGAAACTGGAGCCAGCCGGAAGAGGACCCTTCCTGCTAAGTGGAGGTTAATTGTGTGTTTAAAGGGTTAAATGTATTACCAGTGGGCAAACCACCTTCTGAAGAAATAAAGGGGAAAGCAATGGAGACCAGTGTTTCAGAAATAACTTGTTTAACAAAACTAATCTCCCCCCCCTCGCACTTCTGACGCCACTGGGCAGACGCACCAGCCTGCCTTGGGTCATCAGATACAACGCCATGAACTTGAAGGAAATTGCAGAAATCCATCATGGAGTTTGCTGAACTGGTTATTACTGGCCCCTTTTTTATCTTTCAAACGGTCCCTAAACTTAATTGCCTTGCAGTAATGGATTAACCTCTGAGGTCCATGGTAGCATTTGTATTATGTTCAAAGGGAAGCAGGGAGGTTTTGAGCCAGTTTTTGGAGAATGTCTTTATCAGACCCAAGGTGTCCCTGTTTGGTGTTGGATAACTCCAGCAAGCATCTGGAGAGGTCACAAGAATGTCAGGCAAAAGAAGGACAGAGAGTCTTTCCTTTGCCCTGAAAGCATCCATACACCCCTTTGAAGCTTATTGTATGGTGGCTGAGGAGTCGGCAAGGGTCTTGGGACCATAGCTCTATTAAGGGATAGTAAAAGTTCTGATATTAGAGAAAGGACAGGCATGGATCTTAGTTGTCCCTGTGCCATTTATCTCTCTATCTAGTTCCAGATTCTTCCCATTAGTAAATGAACCTCTGCCAGCTCCCTTGGTGATGGTTAATTGTGGATGTCAACTTGACAGGATTCAGAAACACCTTGTAGACACATATTTGGGTATGTGTCATAGTTTTAACTGTCAGCCCAACACAGTCTGAAATCCCCTGAGAATAGAGTTCAGTTGCTCAGCTGGGACCGTGTACATGTCTGTGAGGGGATTGTCTTGATCATCAGTTGATGTAGGAGGGCTCAGTCTACCGTGGTTAGCACCTGACCAGGTGGGCCTGGCATGTTTAAGAAGGCTACCTAAGCATGAGCTTGTTAGTGGTCCATTGTTCCTCCACAGTTTCTTCTTCAATCTCCTGATTTCCCTCAATGATGGGCCGTGACCTAGAAGTATATGATGAAATAAACCTTTTCCTTCCCCAAGTTGCTTTTGGTTAGAGAGTTTTACCATAGCAACAGAAAGGAAAGTAGAGCCAGGTGTCCAGGAGTTTCTAGATAGCCTGAACTGATGACCCCCACCCTAAATATGACTGAAGTTTACTATGGGCAAGGGCGCTTGACTGAATAGAAGGGGGGAAGGAGGAAGTCAGCTGAGTACCAGTGTTCAGCTCTCTCTGCATCCTGACTGCAGGTGCCCAACAACCTCAAGCTCCCCCTGCCAGGGCATGGACTACGGTCTCTCCCAAACTGCGAGCCAAAGTAAAGCCTTCCTTCCCTTACGTTGACTTGGGTGGGGGGATGGTGGGTGGGTGCTTTGTCAAAGCAACAAGAAGAGCACCTCCCCATCCGTCTTTCTTTACTTAAAAACAATATTAGCTACATAAGTAATTTGTCATTCCATTCCCACTCTGGTCACATTTCCCAATCAATGTCCGTGGAGCTTGATTCAGTCACTTTCAAGGCTCGATTTCACCTTTTCTATAGGGAGCCACAGGACTGTTCTCTTCTTGAAATACAGCTGCCTGCTAGCTGGCAAACCCTGCCCACTCCTCATTTTCTCTCTTACCTCGGGCTTTCCTCCCCACAGTCCAACACCACTTTCACTTCCTCAAGTTTATCAATGTCAGAGAGTCTTGAGTCCTCACATCTGTCTGTCTTTCTCCCCTCAACATTCTCTTCTGTTCCCAGAGCTTGAAATATGAGACAGTATTTAATTCAAACCATCATCTTCCCCTCTCAAAATAGCACAAGGTACTCGTGACACTTGTAGAGGCTTCCTCCCATGACCTGCTTTTCATCCACTAAGTGATGCCATAGATATGAAGAGAGATGAGTGTATTTACCATACTTGGTTTCAGCTATTTTGTGGCTATCTGCCATCTACTGAGATGGCAAACCAATAATAAAATAGACTTGGCCATGTTTTTGGCCTCTCTAGGATACCTCAGTGGTGTCAGGTCAACAATGGAGTGTAATGGCCTGAAATTAAGAATGGGAAGTCAGAAAAGAGAGAATACATTTACAGCCATCAGTGTATAGTTGGTATCAGACATTTAATTTCTTAGTAATCTACACAAGCTCTGCTGACAGGGGTGGCCCAGTGAAACCTCCATATCAAAGCAGGTCAGCATTTGTACAAATGGAAAGCTAAAGGAATGAGCCAGACTGGAGGGACAAGTTGAAGCCATAAAAAGGGAAATTTAAATATTATATCATTAGAATCATTTAATGGATAATATTGTCAACTTGGCATGATTTATGACAGAACAACTTAGGCACATCTGTGGGAGGCCTTTCTCAGGTTAGCCTCTTGGGAAGTCTATGAAGGATTATCTGGATCTGACTAACTCAGGTAGGAAGATTCACTCTAAATGTGGGTGCATCATTCCCAGAGCTGATGTGTTAGATGGAATAAAAAGTAGGAAGCTGGCTGAGTACCGCCACTCATTGTCTTTGGAGAGACAGAGATACCAGCTTCCTCAATTCCCTGCCACCATGACTTAGCTGCTGTCAAAGACCATGATAGATTATATCCTGGAATTCTAAGCCAAAATAGACCCTGTCTTCTTTATGCTGTCAGGGTATTTTACCATAGCAACAGAAAAGTAATAAATAGAAATAACAATGTCCCCGAGATGACATTGATTCTAGAGTATAACACAAACCACACATATAATTTTTAATTTCCTAAAAAATGCACTAAAAACAGTAACACAGACTCCATGGAGAGGCCTTATTTGTTTTATATCCTATATTTAAGACATATTATTTCAACCTATAGTTACTATAGGCAATTTTTGAGATATTTTTCATTTGCCTTTCACACAGCTATTTTGTAGTTTTAGCCTATTTTAGTTCAGATGAGATCCATTTCAAGTGATCAACTGTCATGCGCAGCTGGTGACATAGGTATTGCACCGTCTCGGTCAAGAACATGGTTAGTAGAACTGGCCTTTGACGACATAAAGAGCATCTTCCATGTGGAAAGACAACATGAATAAGAGTACAGCTTCAGGGACATTGGAAGATTGTACGTGCATTTGCTGCTTGTCTTGTTGCTGAGACAAAAAATTACCCAGGAAAAGCAACTTAAGGAAGGAAGCCATTGTTTGGGCTTGCAGTTTCATATGAGACGTAGTCCAGCGTGGTGGAAACAGTGAGGCAGCAGGAGGATGCAGCAGTTGGTTGTAGCACATCCACCGCCAGGAAGCAGCGTGTGGACAAGGAGTAGATCTTTGCTATAAAACTTTAAGGCTCACTCTTAGTGACCCACTTCCTCCAGAGAGAGACCCTGCCACCTTCACACACCACAGCTTTGGAAAACAGCACCATCAGCCAAGGACCAAGCGTGGACACATTAATAGCCCATGGAGAGCATTTCCCATTCAACATACAACAGGGCGTTGGGGGATGAGGGAGGAAGGAAAGAGCATTGAAGAACATTTATCTACCAGTACACTGCTTGAATGGCCCCTCTTCTTTCGAATGTCCTTTTCCTCCTCTGCATACATTGAGAGTTGTGGGGGGCATCTTGTGTCATAGAAGATAGCTCAACTTAGAATTGCAGAGTCTCCCAGAAAGTTTAAAATCAATCAGTCCCATCTTAGGCAATCCCCTGGCTTCCTTACAATTTTCTTCTCATGCACTGTGAAAAGCCAAAGCTTCCATCTGTAGTTAAACAACTGTAAGTTGTTGAGTCCAAGTTCAATCTTGATGTTAATCCTTTGTAGTAATGGTATGCATTAAAAATGTAAAAGAACTAGCTATTTAGTGCCTATGTACAAAATAATAATAATCACAACAGTGACAATAATGCACACAGGACCAACCACATCCTTCTGGTGTTGGCGGCTGCTGCTGCTCCCAAACCTATTTTTCACTCATGATCCGCAAAAGCCCAAGTGTGACTGCCTGAGCCTTCCCCTTTCTCGTCAAACCCGCGGTGTACTCAGAGGTAAATCTAATCCATGTGTTTCTCATTCATTTACACTTATCTCACCAAAACGTTGTTTTCTAGCAGTGGGTTGATGGCCAAGAAGTCACTCTTAAAGCTCTTTTCTTATAAATAGGATGTTGTGGTTTGCCAAGAGGGGAGAAAAGTCTGAGCCTCCAAAAGTTGGAATTCAAATCAAAACTACAGAATCAGGAAGTTTGAGCCAAAGTTTGACAGGGCTTTCCCATCATTTCTAGGAATCTTTCTCCCCTAGGTGTTTTTCTTTTTCTTTTTTTTTCAGTTTAATTCAGTGACAGTCAGGGTGAAAATGCTTAGGCTAGGTCTGATTGCTCTTGCAAGAAGTTGGGCCAGAAAATAGGGTGCATCCAGAAAAGATGTGTTTCGAGGATTTCGCTTCCCTCCTTAGAGGGCTCCCCTATTCCATGGAGTACCTTGACCGGCCTGTCAGTTTTTCTCCTCACCTGAGGGTCCTTTCTGTGCTGACAAACTCCTCTTTCTGCACCGGGTTATTCATGGTCTGGAACCACTCTCCTTTATTTTCATTTGTACTGAAAGCCTTGTATGAAAAACTTCAGGAAAACAAGTCTCAGAGCTTGAAGAATTCCATGGCCCTGAAAATGAATTGGAGAAACATTAGGTCAGATGTGAGACTGATAAACCTCCCAGCTCCCAACTCCCTTTCACTGAAGACTTTAATTAAAAACAAACACACACTTCTCTGAAATGCCGTCGATTTGCATGAACACACTGCTTCTGGTTTATCATAGCTCTCAAAGACTTTCTGCCCAGATAGATTTTCTTCCTGACATTTGGAATTAGGACAAATCTTCAGCAGCCCTCACAGGCTTAGATACTCTGATCATCGTTTATGTTTGTTTCTCTTTGGGAAGCTTCCAAACACGGGCCACTGGATGCCTGCTACAATAGTAGAACGGATTTACGAGGTCTCTTGCAAAGGAGCAAAATGTGTAGTCTGGCAGTGCTCAGAAGGACACAATGAATTAAACAATT